CCCCCCCCCCCGTCCCACAGGAGTTCTTGGGCAGCTTCAATGGAAGAAGGGAGCCAAGAAGGAGGTCTGACAGAAGTCCAGAAATGATCATTACAACGTGGATTGTGTACATTCTCGCCCGGAAAAGTGTGGGGCTCCCCTTCCCACCAATAACCAGTTCGGTAAGCAGAGCTGGCAGGAGCCCCCCCGGAAGTGCTTCTTTCTTTCTTTCTTTCTTTTTTTCACGTCAAACAACCTTATTGGACAGACCTCTGGTAGTGTATTCTTTTTTTCAAAAGAGTTTGGATCCAGTGGTTTTCTTGTAGCAGAAATGCTGTGGGTGAGGGAGGGGCGTCCAAAAGATCAAAAATCACTTTATAACAAAGATATTTGCACCAGATTGTTCATTGCAGCTCAATTTATAATAGCCAAGTCATGGAAGAAGCTCAAGGGCCCATTGACCTGGAAGTGTTTCTTATCTGTTCTCTCCCCTCCGTGCTCCTGCTGCTCTCAGAGAGGGCTTACAACAACGTAACTTTGGACCAGAGTCAAGGGTGGGTGGGGAGCTGGGTTTCTGGGTTTTCTGGGGTAACCAGCTTACCAATTTGTTCCAGGACATTGATGTTGTGGAGAGCGAGGCTGTAGCCGTAGTACAGCATTGGTTGAAAAAAGTGAGTGCAATTCCTCTGTGACTTAGGGCATCCAAAGTTCTAGAGAGCTGGTCTCAGTGGGTGTGGGGATCTGGACTCCCTTCTACATAGAACTCAAGTTCATCGCTACATACCCTGCCTGGAGTTGAGTCTCATCCACCCAAATGTCTTGGGGCCCATGTCCCAGGAAGAAATGTGTTAGTGTCACCACTAACCCTGGTCTGCTTCTCAAATACCCTGGATTAAGGAACAGTGTCACTTTTAGTTCAAGGACATCTCACACCATGGAGCAGGGCAGGGGACTTGGGGAGGTCTCTGGGACTTCACTGGAAGTTGCCATAGAGGGCTTGTGGCAGGAGAGATATGGAGGGGATGTGTGTAAATATGAGGCATTGTGATGGAGAAGGAAAACAGAGGAAGGAAGAGGAGAACAGGGACTCAGGATGGGACGCAGTGCCACTGTCAGAGGGCAATCATTCACCTTTCAGACAGAAGAAGAGGCCTCCCAGGGCATAAAGGACAAGATGTCCCCCAACTACTCCACTCAGGGCAAAAAGGAGAAGATGTCCTTCAGCTACCCTCCCACCCATGGCCAAGACACACACGTAACCAGAGATTTGGTAACTGAGAGTTTGAGATAGTCGCCGTAGATGGGTGGGGGGAGACGGGAAAGGAAGGAGGCCCTACTTCAGGGTTCTGGGCAAGGGTATCTGGTTGGTGCTGGCCTAGCCAGGGGCTCCATACTGGGCATCCATCATCTGGCACCCTCCCGGATTTCCTAGATGAAGCACCAGTTCTCAAAGGCTGATTTGTCAACAAGCCAGAGTCAAGATGTGCTGGAGGAGAGAACAAGAATCCAGTTCATAAGATGGAGGTAAGTCATCCCGTTTGCCTTGAGTGGAGGCACCAGCCCCTCCCTCCGGGATTCGGACCAATAGGAACCCACAGATATACTTCCCTAGAGCTATTCTCTCCTTTGGTGGAGAAATTCTTCAGTCTTCCCTTGGGGTCTGAAGGGCATATTCTTGCTATCTTGAAAGTCTGGCTTATCTCTACATTTAGAAATGACTGGAGGGGTTGGAAAACCTGGGCTTGCTCTCTCTGTCTTAAATGCTTCTGAATACATTTCAGACTTCTGTTATTTTTGCACTTGAGTTGTTCAGAAGTGGCCATGCTTTAAAGAGCTAAAAGAAAAATAAGCTCTTAAAATGCAAAAGCCAAAACCCTCATTTGCAACTGAGGTTTCCCTGTGCCTGAGGCTACAGAGTCCTGTGCTTCACACTGCCCGTGGTCCCACAGCCCCTCCTGGCTGCAGGCTCAGGTGAGGAGCTGGGCTGGAGCCACCTCCCTCTGGGTCAGACTTCCTAATAGCCTTTCCGGCGCCTTTGCTCATGGGGCCTCTGGTCCAGTCTAACCCAACCACCCGTTACTGGGAAGCCCCCAGTGCGGGCTTTGCTCTCTGCTGGGAAGGGTGTTGTATTTTTCAAGAAATGTACTTTTGCTTCCCTATAGGTACTAGGTGAACCTGTTTCTGCCCCTTCTCCTGGCATCTGTGTTTTAGGGTTATTTAAATGCACAGAAATTATATAACAGGAAGGACTAACGGTGGAATTTGAGAGTTTCCCTGAGAAAATTATTTTTTACATGGCGAACCTTAGGCAGATCCTACTTTATCAATGCCAGTGATTGCAATCCGGGCTTTCTGTGCCTAGCACGGTTGCACTGTGGAGTTCTCTTTTTTTTTTTTTTTTTTTTT